AACAATGAAGCAAAACTGAAGGAAAAAAATGGCAGCAGATTCAGAGACTCCAAGAATGAACTAGTGGTTACCAAAGAGGAGGGGTGTGGGAGGGCGGGTGGGGAGGGAGGGAGAAGGGGACTGAGGGGTATTATGTTTAGTACACATGGTGTGGGGGGCACAGGGAGAACAGTGTAGCCCAGAGAAGGGACATAGTGGATCTGTGGCATCTTGCTGCACTGATGGACAGTGACTGCATTGGGGTGTGGGGGGAGACTTGATAATATGGGTAAATGTAGTAACCACATTGTTTTTTCATGTGAAACCTTCATAAGAGTGTATATCAATCATACCTTAATAAAAAAAAATTCTCAGGCATAAAGAAAATTGCCTAAAGAGACAAGGCTTTGAGGGAGACACAGTCCACAGATCAGTGGGTACCTTTCGGTAAGAATAATCAGCCAAACGATGACAAAGAAAGCAGACCAGGAACTTCTTGGACCCAAATGAGGGGCAAAGCAAGCACACAGTCAGTGCAGCAAAAAAGGGGGAGGAGCTGATGAATATACGAAGATGAAACTCAGAACTTGCCCTTAGGGAGCTTCTATCCAACCTAAAAAGTCCAAAAAGGAGAAAACAAATTACAATATGAGATACATACGCAAAAGTACTCGGTGGGGAGGGGGATGGTAAGAAACTGCATAAAAATGGCAGGGAAGGGGGAGACTCACCCTTCCAAGTTGAGCTGGATTTCAAAAGGCCAAGAAAGAATGGAAGGGATGCAAAGGTATGAGCTGGGGACAAGTGGGTGTGGGGCTGTGAAGGCAGAGGCCCCACTGGCAGACCCATCAACAAAGGCGGATGCCAAGTAGGTGAAGACCCCAAACTAGGAGGACGAGGGAATGAGAAGAATGGACAGATCTCAGGAAATCTGAGATAAAGATGTTGATGAGATCACAGAGATAGGACCACCCTCCTGGAAGGGTTCAAAGTGCAAACACACACTGGGTGGAGAAGTGGAGCACAGAAAACAGTACTTAGAACTGAGAAGCCAAAACCATCCTTGAGGTAAAGTAGAAAGTGAGGAAAAAAGACGAGAGTGGGGAGGATGGTGAGGCAGGGCAAGAAGACAGCTAAGTTAGGGAGAAACTGGAACTTTATTTTAAAAAATTACTTTGTAGCAATTGTTTGCTTTCATGTGCTAGCTAGTTAATAGATATGCTTAAGTAATTCTATGCAAATTATTTTCACACATCTAGCACTTCAAAGGCGTAGGAACTAGGAAGAAAAGCAGTTAGATAAAAAGGGATTATAGGTTCCTTCATTAGTTCATAGGCTAATCACAACTAGTACATCTGCTGCCTTGACAAACTTTTGGTCCTTGGAGGAAGGTGCCCCCTCAAACCTGATAAAACCTACAAAATGTTTTCACTGATGTGCAATGTGGGCATTATGGTACACATTTTATGTTTTGGTGAAGAAGTATCATTACATTAGTTAGCAGTTTGTGTTTTTATACTAGAATCCTCCTTGTCTAATACTCTGGAATACTTTCCACATCGTTTCTACCATTACCAACAATGTCTAATAAAGTATCTCACAATACAGTCTCTCTGACCAGTTACCGAGCTAATAAACAAGTGGCAGATAAAGAATGGAACATCTCAAAACTGGTTCCTGAGCCAGCCTCTGTGAGAAGGCAGAGATGGACATATGTCCATGTTTATAAATTTCACAAAGCTCTTCCAGACAGTAAGGTACCTAAGTCGATCTTTTCAGCTATAGAATGAGCTAATATGCACAATAGGGAGGAAATAAGAAAAACACTAGTAATTCATTTAGGGTAAATTATGGACATGTAAGCATCATGACTGCTGAATTATGATCTAAGAAATAAATCTAAAATTGTTCAGACTGTTCTTTGGAAGTGTAGGGATAAACAGGCAGATCCATGAAAAAATTGCAAAACCTAAGGCACCATTTAGAAGCCAGCGTCACATGAAGCGGACTCCCTCCTGCTATCTGCTTTCAGCATTCTAAAATCACATCTCCATGCTTGTCACTCCACTTCACCCCACTGTAAGTTCTTCAGCAGCAAGAACCATTTTTTATTCATTTGTAGAATCCCAGAACCTGGCTGTATGCCTGACAAATAGATTTAAAATCACAAAAATTTTTAAAACCACGACTATTAATGTGCACTGATCATGAGTGCCTCATAAAGTGGAGCTGTGCTAACAAGGTACGAGAAAGAAGCGTGGCCTACCTTGCCTGAGGCTGGAAAGATGCAGCTCACATCACCGACAAACGCCCAAGAGATGGGATCCAGGAGTAATGAGGACCCCGTGGTCCAGCTGCCCTACCAATCAAGAGATACTGAGTATACAACCTAGAGCTCCTAGGATTTTTTATTAAGGAAGTAGATACTGCCACAAGACCTTACCCAGACAGAGGGATCACATCACCTACCTCAAAGTTGGTTACAAACACCAGACACACAGATGCACCTAGCTCTACATCTGGCTACAGTAAGCCTTCAAATCCCACAGGGAATAACCAATTCAAATCAGGACTGTGTTCTCCACTACATTATAACTCAGTAACTATTAAGATACAGTGCCAAATATTAGTCTATCGGCAGAAAAGAACCTTTATTAAAAATGACTTGCCACTAAGTGGTTGGGGTTTTTTAATACATCCAACTTTTAAATTTCTCATTCAAAAGATTTGTTTAGTTTCACAGATGAAATGGCACTAGTATGATTTTTATCCAGAATACGAAAACAGCTTCTCATATTCAAAACAGGTTGTAGCCCCAGTCACTAAAACAAGATTCCACCTGTATACAGTGAAACAAACAACATTTATGCTTTACTTTATAAGACAAACCAAATTATGGCAGGCGACCCTCAAAACCTTAATACAATGAAATAAAGCCATAGAGAATTACAAATATACAGGTTAAAATACAATTAAGGAAAACTACAGAGTGTGTTTCATCAATCAAACACCCTGAACACCACACCCTTGTGACCCAGCTTTGTCCCACAGCAGCAGACGTGGTGTCAGTTCTGCTGTCCTCCATCAGTTCACCTTCTCTGGGATCCTCCCCCAACCCTTCTCTGAGGACGTCCATCTGCATGGGAGGAAGCCTGGGGTCCCAGCCTGCCCAGGGCCACCTCTCCCTGCAGCAGCCACCAGGACGGGGTTGAATATATGACCAGAATCAGTCCAGTCATGGCGACAACCTCAGGAGCTTCCCTGCAACGCGAGGACAGGAATGCTCGCTCTCTTCCACTTAGGTTTTGAACCTGGAAACTCTCTGCCAAGAACTGCTGGAAGGCAACTTGCAACCAGAAGAACCTGCAAAGTACAGAGTCAACAACAGAAAAAGAAAAAAACACACCCCAAACCAAGATTAAACTTGAGTTCCCATCACTGAGCCCTGACCAGGCACGCTTGGCCAAAGCGCCACCAGACTCGTTACAGGAGCAAGCAGTCTCTTTTCCTTAGTACTGAAATTGTATTACAGTGACACCTGAATTCACAGAGGATGGGCTCTTGTGACCTACTAGCTCGTCAGGCCAAGGGCGTCTGCTCCCCCCGCCAGGTGAGGCGCTTCCTCCAGCCTCAACTTGTACAGCCCAGGTGAGGCAGCTGAGACCCTCCTCCACCA